CGAGTTTAAAACTTGCTAAGTAAATAAATTATCTTCGTTAAGGTGTTCATTGGCTCGCCAGCCAGCAATCATTGGTAGCCACGACAGGTGTAAGATAGCGTTCAATTGAGTTTGCTCGACAGTGCAAATCAATCATTTTTTTCTTTATTTCGCTGTTGTCGATGGTTTTGTCTTTCTCGAACGACTTGCATACAAACCAAGTTACACTGGCTGCGAAGAAAGCGAGAGAGAAGATCGTAGAAGGTAACCAGCGCTCTGCAGGTGTCGTTTTTAGCAGCGTAAAGCCGATAGGCAAAAGACCGATGACGATTCCGTTTTGAAGTCGCCAAACTTTTAAAAGTTACCAATTAATAGCTTTTCTTGAGCCACTGGTTATATAAACAATGATGAATGCAAGCCTTAGAGACAATGGGGCCATCTCGCTAACGTGTAGTTTTGTCAACGTTACGTTTTATGGCGATCGTCAGGAACTTGCGTTTAATATATCGGCCTGCGTACTCAATGGTCTTTTCGCGATAAGTTCCACTCTGTTCAACAGCGTGGTGTTGTTCGCTGTATGGAAGACTAGAGCCCTGCATACTCCATCGAACACTTTACTCAGCGGTCTGGCGGCATCCAATCTGGCAGTTGGTTGTGTACTGCAGCCGTTATATATCGCCATGAAATTACTGGAGATTCATCAGGTTCTAGCACCGTATTGCCATCTCAGGATAGCATTGGAAACCTTGACTATGGTGGTATCCGGGACTTCGTTTCTAACTCTAACCTTCATCGCAGTGGAGCGCTATTTAGCTTTGTATTTGCACCTTAGATACAAAGCCATCATCACGTGTCAGAGGATGGCAATCTGCCTGGCTATCTCGTGGCTACTTCCAGTTATAGGGGCACTCTCCAGATTTCGGTTGAGCCCTCGAGCCGTCGCCTCCATCGCGGGTTCAATCATCATTGCCTGTTTGCTGTTGAACATCTGGGCGTACTTCCAGATATTTCGTTTTGTCAAACGTCACACCACGCAGATCGAAAATATAACATCCCGCTTGCAAGTATCTGGCTCCACAGTGGAAATTTCAAAGTATAACAAAACCGTCGTTACCATGGCAACTCTCCTCCTGACTTTGATCGTCAGCTATGCGTCATTCGTCGGCGTTACCAACGCAATAGCGTTTGGCGGGAAACGCAAACGATCTCTTTCTACAGCTTACACTGTTCTTGCTATTTGGATTTATGCCACCTCTTCCTTGAACCCAGTTTTTTATTGCTGGCGATTGCGGGATTTTCGTCAGGCAGTAATTAAAATAATTTTTAATGAAAGACAGTGACTTTCTATAAGAACTTTGGCGATTTTCGAGAAGTCGTTTATATATAACGGTATCTGAATTGAAGAATAATCCAGCTTATTTATCAGTTATGTTTGTGCCTTTGAAACTCTGCAATACCCAGAACAGTAGGATTTTTTATCTTAACATAACATGTTAAAAACAATTGCATTTGTTATGTAACTGAGAAAATTACTTCACTGTGATTGGCTGAGAGCAGACAAATTTATTGTTAATTTTTAATTTGCACTGCAGTGCACATAAACGCGCGTGATTCGTGATTTTTCCAGTCAAATGATAAATGAATGTAATCGTATGAAGGCTCGAGCAATTTAAGTATTTACACTACTCGTGATATTTGAAAATTCTTTCAATTTGCACTCGCCTAAAAGCTCGTGCAATTTTGAGAGAATTTTCAAATATCAACCATAGAGTGAGTCCTTAATTGCCCTTACATTCATACGATTGCCTATATTTATAGAAGGAGTTGTGGGCTCTGTGCTGGTTCAGACGAATTGAGCATAACAGCTAGTAAACTCAACTGCTGAATAGACAGTTCAAAGCAAATGGCCAAAAGTATTTTAAACTGCCTCAGTGGCGAATTCCAGCCTAATCTCTGTCCCTCATTTTTGTGAGAAAAACCTTTGAGAGGAGCTTGTTGTTAGCTTCGATGTATTATTAGACTCTCAGAACGAAAATTGAAAGAAACATATAGTACTTAGTATCAATGGGTTATTGACCAAGCGTGAGGTCAATTAAGATGGCTGGATATTGGCCAAGTTCTTTTTTTTGCGTGTGATGAATGGACCGAGACGGAGTCGAGGTCCATAAACACTAAAAAAAGAACGAGGTCAATATCCAGCCATCTTGACCGAACAAGTTTGGTCAATAAAGGATTTATTATATGGAAAAA